TTCCTTTTAAGCAAAAAAAACCAAGCCACCCTATTTTAAAGAATTGAACTTGCGTTGTTCAATAACCACTTGTTATTTTGTTATTTGAGCTTTCTTTCTTTTGTTTTTTTGGTTACTTTCAGGGAAGAAACTTTTTGGTGAAGGCTACAGTGGACTAGAATATGATTACCGAGGTCTCATTAAACTTTACAACTCCATTGGAAATTACGAGAAAGTGTTTGAGTATCACAATGTTCTGTCTAACTGGAACCGGTTGCGAGATCGGCAGTATTCAGTAACCGATGCTCTTGAAGACGTCAACACCAGCTCCCAGTCCACTGAGGAAGTGGTGCAGTCCTTCCTGATTTCTCAGAATGTTGAGGGACCCAGCTGCTGAGGGAGGACCTCAGTTAACTAATTTACCTTTTCCCAGATTCCAGGGAATTCATACTGTGAAATCAAAACCATGTTGTTTTTTGAGGCTGGCATTTGCATTGAAACACTGGTCCAGTCCATTGACCCTATGTGGGTGATCCCTACCTTGCAGAGTGTCCATAGGAATAAGCATATATTCAGTTATATTCAGCATGTACCGCATGTATAAGTAGTCTGGCCCATATTTTCAACCTAGTAGAATAAACAACAGGAAAATTTTTTTTCTTTTTAAAAAAATAATTCATTTTGCAGAAAGCCTGAAAGAAAAAAAGAACCCCTAAATAAAACTATTTAAGAGTTTAAAAGAGTTGCATTCTTATTATGTAAGGATGATTTTAACAACTTTTTAACATATAATTCTTCCTTGTGGAGGTATTCAATACTGTATTGTAAAGAAATTTTATGGGGAAAATCTTTCTATGCAGTATAGCAAAGTTAACACAAGTACTAATAGAAGAGGGACATCCTGACGTAGGTTTGGCTGCCTTACCCAGAGAGGTGGACACAGCCACTCCAGAGCTCTAGTTCAAGGGAAGGACTGTCAGACTCTTCTGAACTGGACCAGTGTTGATCTGTAAGTAACACAAAAGCTGATAAACCAGCAATTTTAACTCTTTGATTGTTTTGGTTTTGTTGTGTTTTTGGGGGGTACAAAAATGCAAGATGCTCTGATAGTGTTTGCTAACAGGACCAGGAGGATCTGAAAAGGACCAGCCTAATGTAGAAAGGGGTTATTTGGACCAGAGGCTTTAGATTATTATTTTAGCCCCTGCTTATACTTTTTATCAGTAGAATGATTTCACTTAGATGTGTAATGAAAAGTGATAATGCAAAGATTATATTCATGTAATAGACACCAAACTAGGGAAATTTGGCAGTTTCAGTGGCATATCTTTAGTCAAGGTACACAGATGGCAATGCCATAAGCAAGTCTATAAAGATCTGCTGCAGCCATCCCCTTCATTTTAAATGTTACCCTAATAATCAATGCAGTTACTTAGCACGTGTATTGGCTAAGAGTCATGAAATAGCTCATGTCCAGGTGGGAATTTTAGGTTACCGTATGGCTTACGGGGATTAATGGAAAAATAAATGCCCAGAAATAAGCAAGCCTTCTTAGAAATCCTTCATGTTTGTGGTAAATAATAGTCCAACTAGGTCATTTTATTTGAAATTCAGGAGTCAGATGGAAAGACTCCCTTAATGATACGTTTCACTAACCTATCTTTGTTTATTGGGTTTTGATTTTTTTTTTTAAGCCAGTCAGGTTATTTAATGTTGAGGTAATACTCAAATTTGAGAAGTTGTGATGTGTAGCAATCCAAGAAACAAGAAAGGTCTTTTGCTATTACCTCAATTCTTATTATAGGGGCTTATTTGGTGCCTCTATAGTTAAGAATCAGGGTTTTACCCCCTATTTTCAGGGGCTCATGACTTGGCTGTTAGAGATGTTGCTCCTGGCTAATGGCTTGGAGTGGTCTGTGGATGAGTGGATGTGTGCTGAATTTTGGTTTTCTTTTAACAGGCACATTGGGGTGGGAGGTGGGGAAGAATCTAATCTGTCTGCCACGTTGAACACAAAAAAAGTAGTTGGGGATTTCAGATAAATTTGATCTTAAACACTTTTTTGAACTTCCCAAATATAACCTTGTTTAAAACTGTTACTTGCCATCTTGTTAGTTATGAGCCAGTATTTTTTTAAGTCCCCAGGAGGGGATTGATTAGGGGAGGTACCTAAAGAGATGAAGCAAGCCTAGACCCTAAGATTATAGCTGTGTGATTTTGAAACCTGGGTTTATTCCTCAAATTGAATTATTTTTAATTTTGAAAAGAGTACATTGGCACACCTACACCTCCCCCTCCCAGTTAATTGCAATCTAATGCCAAGAGGCACCTCTCTCTTAGTTACCAAATAGTCTGTGTGACCAAGGACTAACATTTTTAAGTTACTCAGCTCTATCCTCATGGGCTTATATATTTAATACCTCCAAAGATATTTTAAGGATAGGCTTTGTATGCTTTTGTTGGTTATTTAGAGTCCTGTGGTATGTTTGTGGTATAGGAATGTCATGGTAAATTGTTTTTCAATAAATATTTTGAAACTTATGTTTCCATATGAAGTTTTTTTTTAATTTATATTTTTTGGTTTTGTGCACATGTAACATTTTTTAGGATAAAATCAAGCAAATGACTTAAGGCCTCATCTTCTCTCATTCAGTTTGAACTCAACTTAGCTCACATTCAATGATAAAGCAACATGATATTTAGAAGCCTAGGATCACAGGGTTCAATGGCAGCCAGTTTTTCTTTTAAAAAAAAAGTCACTGTTAATAGTTTCCCCTTATTACCACTACTTTAATATTGTTTTCTTTGATTTAATATAAACACTCTAGGTTTAGAAAAGAGATTGCCTTTTCTGTTAGTGATCTAATTTAATATGCTTTTGTTTCTGGTTCTAATGAAGAATAATACACTAATAATTTTAAGTGTGGGATTTATCCTTTTAATAGGGATGTTTAGGATAAATTGGAGACGTGAATATCGTAATTTATGAGGTTAGAAAAAAAATCTCGAAGAAAAGAATAAAATTTACCTCAATAACCAATTGCTTGAATGAATTTTTCATATATGATGGGGATGTGTGTAAGGAAGCCGAGACCAACTTAAAGGTTTTTCTAGTTCAGCAAAGTAATGTTAATAAGTAAGGGACCTTTGGTCTCATCCTTTCCTGACTTTCATTTTTTTTCTCTCTTACCCAGTCTTTTTCCTAAAATTTGGTGCTACTCAAGTTGGGTGCATCCGGGAGCCCTGTAACACCCATATGCCACACAGGGGGTCGGTCACTCCTGCGTCCGGTTTAATAGAGCCAGTTGAGTGTTTCAGACCGTAATTTTTGTGGGTTCCCAAAAGCTGATTTTGCCCAAAGCATTTGGACCCTTATTACCATCCAAGCTCTATCCTCTTTCATGAAAAATGAACTCACTATTGCTTTGGAGTAACCCCCATGCAGGTGTGCTTTCAGTTGTGAAAATAAAAGATTTGACAGAGATCTTTGTTCTTAGCCTGTTTGGGAAGAGTTCACTGTGACAAGGTCCAGAGGCTGCAGTCGTGTGAGCGTGCCGTTTGGCTGCTCCTTTCCGTGCAGACTGAATGCTGAACGGGGAACACGTGCCTAGAACATGAGTGAAGCTTTTGGCCACGCTTTACAGGTGAAACAATGGTTTGCTAAGTAGCAGTTACAGGCTTCCCCCGCTAGCTATAAGTAGAGCGTTCCTATGAAACCTCTCTAAGCTGAAACGGGTGGACAGCAAAGAGGCTGTTTCCTATGGACATACCTTGCTACATACAGATGCACAAAATAAATCGAGTTGAAGCACAGATGCTTGCCTAGCTAAGCCTCTGGAGGGCTGTCGCTGAGACACCGGTTGTAGTCCGAGCATGGCGGTGCCACCCCTGCTGCTCCGGGTGTGGCTGCCTCTCTCACAGCTGTCTGCAAAAGAAAGGTTGAACACTAGTTTTGCTTTTCATCTTTTTCCATAAAAGCAGACATCCTCTTTGGATTTCATTTGGTTAGCGAAAACAGGTGCTAAGGTAGATCTTCCGTAAAAGCAAAGTGGCATAAAGTGAACTTTCCGAAAGCGGGGGATACCTGTGTTGTTAACTGCCACTCAGCTTTTTTTTTTTTTTTTCCTGCTGAATTTGTAGCCTTGCTGCTTCCAAACTGTTCTTTTTCTGGATGGCAAAGTTACTACTGGAAAAATAACTTATAAGTAAAAACTTCATTAGGAGTTTTATTTTTGCTGTAAGAATTAACATATATTTCACCTCTTGGCTTTGGAGGACCTCAGCTCTTGCTAGGAGATTCTTTCTAATCTGACATTTGCATTAATGTCCAGCTTGAACACTAGTATTTGCATTGTCCACAAATCTCAGGAATGTTTTAGGCAGAAAACTGGTTTTACCCTGTTGGTGATCTGAAGGAGTGTGCTTTAGGATTTGTTAAATAATGCCCTTCTTTAATTGCAGTCCTAGGCATCTATAGCATGAGTGGCCTTAGTGAGTCTGTTGAAGTGCACATTTTTTTTTTCAAAAGTAAAATTTAAGATTAAAAATATATGCTATATATAGATATCTAGAAAACTTGGTTTGTGGTGCACAAGTTAAGTGTTGGATCACTAAATAACTTTGCAGGTACCATTTGTGTAACATCATTCATTTCTATAGATTGCTTTTACGGGAAGATGTGTTGCCATGGTAACTAAAAACAATTTTAAACTTAGTTCTACTTTTCTGATGTGAATGAATGCAATGTTTTATTAAATATTACCAGGTCAGTACTATTTTTATACTTAATTAAGCAACAGGGGATTTTAGTTTAATAGACTCAAAGTAAAAAACTCTTAATGAAACAAAAGCAAATCATTAACCATTTCTTTATGTGAAAATCCCCACTGATAGTGCCACAGTAATTTCTATAGAAATATCTAAGGTCATTGATAGATTTTTTTTAAGACAACTGATTCTTCATTGTGTCAGAATGACCTTTCATATCATCCTTACCACAAACTTGTAGTGCCCACCATTATTTGTAACCATTAAACCATACTAAGTATGTTTGTAACCAGCATTGTGATATATTCTGTACTTGTATTGCTAAAAATGAATTATTGACTTAATAAATATAGTGTTCCTGCATTCATAGCGTATCTGTTTCCAATTTAGTTGTGATCACTGTTGGTTGGGACTTGGGATTATTTAAACACTGTAGACAGTTTTTATTAGGGAACACTGCAAGAGACACTAGAACGAAAGTGCTCCTGCTCAAGAAAAGTGAGTTGTGTGGCAGAGGAGACACATGGGAACAGCACCTGGAGTTGGTGCTCATGAAAGTTCTATGGAAAAAATAAGCACTATATTAATGTGGGGAATTTTTTAGTCTTTCCAAAAGTAATGATGCCATTCTTTTCCCTGCTCTCCTAACTCTAAAAGACTGAAAATGGGTGGTGAGACCTGGTGAAGTTCTGCTGGCAGCAGTGGAGAAAACTCTCTGTCTTGGTTACAGTTCCAGCCCTGCCTTTGAACAGCAGGGAATTTGAGATGTGTCATCGTAAGTCTCTTTGTGTTTCATTTCCTCATGTGAATGGTGGGGTCAAACTAGTTCTTTAAGAAAAATCCACCATGAAAACAGCATGAATCTTAAGCATTTAGAACAGTTAGTTACAGGAAATGAAACCAAATTTTAAAAGATTAAAAAGAAAACATTTAGACAAAATCCCACCCTTGCTTGGAATGGTCAGCACTCCGTCACCTACCACCTTTGGTATACTGAATTTAAAAATCTTTCCTTTTACACCTCTGGGACTTTGAACGTGCCATGTCCTGTTTTGTGTGGAACACCATTTCCTGCTTAAAGTCTTACTCATCTGTCGAGCTCAAAGGACAAGGGAAGCCTTCCCTTAAAACCTGAGTTGCCACTTCTTGATGCTTAATGCAGCATTTTATGTAAAGCTTTGTTAACGCCATTATCAGGTAACTTCCAGAATCAAGACTATTTCTAGCTTATAAACTTTGCTGATTTGTGCGTGTTAAAAATTTAAGATGTTCACTCTGTAACAGGTAGTAGAGCACACTTTCTATAATTTGAAAATTCAAGGCAAACTTACACTCAGTAGGATGGCTATTATCACAAAATAGAGAAATGGCAACCGTTGTGTCTCATTCGTGGGAATGTAAGATGGTGTATCTGCTATGGAAAGCTAAGATGTTTCCTCAAAAAATTAAGAATAGTATTCCCATGTGATCCAGCAATTCCTCTTCTGGGTGTACATCCAAAGGCATTGAAAGCAGGAGCTTGAACAGATATGTGTACACCCATGTTCATAACAGCGTCATTCACAACAGCCAAGAGGTGGAAGCAACCCAAATGTCCATCAATGGATGAATGGATAACAGTAAAATATTATTTTGCCAGAAACGGAAAGGAAATTCTGACACATGCTGCAAACATGGATGAACTGTGAGAGCATTAAGCTAACAGATAGAAGCTAGTCGCAAGAGGGAGGGGAGAGAGTAAATACTGTATGATTCCTCTTAGAAGTTATCTAGAGTAGTCAGACTCAGAAAGGAGAGTGACGGTTATCGGGGCTGGAAGGAGGAAAATGGGGAGTGGCTGTTTAATGGGTATAATTTCAGTTTTGCAAGATGAAAAAGTTCTGGAGGTTGGTTACACAACATGAACACAATGTTACTGAACTGTACACTTACAGATGGTAAATTCTATGAGTTACAGCAAATTTCAAGACAACTGCATGAGCAGACATGATATATAAGTTTGAAAAAATGTGAATGGTCACTTCCAGACAGTGCTTGATAAACCTCAAGTGTGATTACTTCTGAATTAGAAAGCTGATACAACCTGTCAAACGTTCATTTGCATTTAAATTCCTTCTCAGCACAGAATCAGGTTTTGTTTTTCACTCTTGCTGCTACTTAAATAGCTTGAGTATTTTTCTTTCCTGTTACTGACTGTGACCCAGCGCCGGCCCACATTCTGCATCTGTTAATGTTGGTGACAGAGTAATCCCATTCCTCTACGCTCGACAGAAAAAAAAAAAGAAAAGAAAAAGATGAGTCATTTAAAAAAGTGCCTTTGGCACTTTTTGACTGAGCCAAAGTTTACCCAGTATATATTTGATCACACAAGTCAGGTCTTTAATTTTTAGTTTTCAGAAGTAAGATTTACCTAAAGGCAGCTTTTATCAGGAAGTGAGAGTTCCAGGGAGTCAGGGTGCTCACAGTGACTTCAGACGTCCAGGTGTGGCTTTAGGCAAATTACCCCATTGCTGAGCTGGACGCCTCATCTGTCAAATGGATTATTAAGAAGATGAAATAAAATGAATGCAACGCCTGCTTCAGTATGGATATGGTGAAAGTGTTAGTTCCTTTCCCTCCTCCTCGCTTTCTAGAGGGTTACGGAGGAGAAGGAGGAGACTGAAACTCCAGTTTTACTGAATATATGATACAATGATCCAGATGATTCCATCTGCCAAGATGGCACCTGTAAGACCCAGCTGGGACCTAAAACTGGAGTAGTTACTCGGGGTTTCAGTAATAAGTAGGGCTGAGCTAAGCTCTTTGGTTTCGGATCAGGTTTGTAGGGAGGAGCCTTATTTAGATCTTGTCTTTTTGAAGCTTGGTTCTTAGTAACAGAGAAGTCACTTCAGATGAGAAAGGGAGGAGTCTCAGAAGCAGCTGAAGGAGGGAGCCCATCCAGCTTTATTCTTACGACAATTTCCTCATACTATTATATATGGAAAGTGTAATTTTCAATAACTGTACAAGTATGCTCCTCTGTGGATGGGCCATAATCTATTTAATGCATCCTCTATTGCTGGAATTATTAATTATCTATTGCTGTGTAATGATGACAAATTGAATTATAATAGTAATCACGGTCCACAGGTGGCCACTGAGGATCTGGTCTCAGACACATCTCTGTACCAGTAAAAACTTGAACTTTCTTTGAACTGTACCAGACCCAAGGACACCACCAGCTGTATTTAGAAGACCTGCAAGCTGCAACCTTAGGGTCTCAAGGTCTCTTGTAACTAATACAACCACTTCAGACCCTAACCAACCCTTACTTAAGTATTTTACTTTTTGCGAGTTCCAATTATAATCCTTGATAGACAACTCATGTAACTAACTGTAACCTTCCAGTTTTTGCCTGTATAAGCCTCCCCCATTTTGTAGTCCAGTGGAACGCAATTCCAATGGCTTCCTGACTCTGTGTCTCCCAGGCTGCAGTCCTAACAAACCCCCAATAAACACTTCATTTTATTTCAATCAGGTCTCTGTTTCTAAAACGTTGGTTAACAGTAACAAATTACCCCAAAGCTTAATGGCTTAAGCAGAAAATATTTATTAAGTAACAATTCCTGTGAAACTGGAATTCAGGAATGGCTTATCTGGGTGGTTCGGGCTTAGGGAGTCTCATGAGACTGCATGAAGGTGGTAACTGGGGTTGCTAAGACGACGGCAGCTGGGGATCTGCTTCCTAAAATGGCTCACTTACGTGGCTGTTGGCAGGAGGTCTCCATCCCTCCTCACGTGGGCGGCTCCACAGGGCTACGTGTCTTCATGACATGGCCACTGACTCGCCCAGAACGAGTGATTCCAACAAAGCATGACAGAAATCAACAGTATCTTTCATGACCTGCCCTAGGAAGCCACACTCCTCATTTTCACCATGTTCTATCCCTTAGAAGTAGGTCACTAGGTACAGCTCTCACACAAGGGAAGGGGAATTAAGCCCCATGTCTTGAAAGGAACAGTATCAGAATTTGTGGGTATATTTTTAAATCTCCACACTGGACATTCAGATTGCTCCTAGTTTTTCCCTACTTTAAATTCCTCTCTGACGATTATCCTTGACACTGAAGCTTTGTGCCCATCTCTGATTCTTATAAATGTCCTGGAGTTGCCGGTCAGATTTTGACATATGCTGCCAGGTTGTATCAATTTCCATTCAGGTTATAATGTATCAGAGCTCTTATTTTTCCACACCCACATCAGCACTGAGCTTTACGATTGTTTTCATTGCTACTGTGATGCCAAGAAAGAATGACTCTTTTTATTTGCATCTCTTGGCTTAGTAACAAGGTTGTGCATTTTGGGTCTGTGGTTGGCTAGTCAGGAGCCTCCTGCTGGTAAGCAATGTCTGTGAATTAGTTCTTTCTGCCCCAAGAGCATCTCTTACTCCAGAGCATCTCCCATGGCTCTGGCGCTCCTGTCACAGTTGTCTGGCAACGTGTCAGCTATCCGAAGTCAGGACTTGATTTGGACTCTGGTCTGCCCCTTGATCCCACCCCCTTACAGAAAGTGAGTCCTGAGGCGGGGAGGGGTCTGTGCAGGATAATAGGCTTCTAGACCAAACATCAAGGCTGAAGACTATCCTGTTTCTTTTTTTTTTTTTAATTTTTGGGGGGAGGTAATTAGGTTTATTGATTTACTTATTTATTTTAATGGAGGTACTGAGCCCAGGACCTTGTGCGTGCTAAGCACATGCTCTACCACTGAGCTATACCCTCCCTGCCAATCCTGCTTTAAAGCAGAAGGATTACGGTTCTTTCAGAATTAGGGGAGAGGCGATGGTTTGGCTACTCTTTTGAAACTTTCTGTTTTGAAAACTTTCAAACATATGCAAAAGTAGAGAGACTAGTGTAAGCAGCTCCCTTATACCTTGCATTCAGCTTATAGATACATGGCCAGTCTCACTGCAAGTATTCCCTCAGTCACCATGCACTCTGCCCTTGCCACACAATTATGTTATTTTATTTTCTTCCAGTTTTATTGAGATACAATTGACATACAGCACTGTAGGAGTTTAAGGTGGATTTGATTTACATACATCATGGAGTGATTATCACAATAAATTTAGTGAACATCTATCAACTCTTACAGATACAAAACAAAGAAAAAAAAGTTCTTTATGGTGAGAACTCTTAGGATTTACTCTTAACAACTTTCATACAGAACATAATCATATTAATCGTGTTGTACATTACGTGCCTAGTTCTTAGGGTCAGGAGCCTCTTCCGTTCAAGACTTTCGAGGAAGTATCCATTATGCTCTAGGAGAGGGACCATCCACGAGGCTTGTTCCTTGGGGTGAACCTATTCACAGGCAGCTTAGACCAAGGTGTGGTTTGGGGGTTTCCACCAAGGCTCCCTACCTCCAAAGAGCCTCCCC